CGTGCTCGGCGCGGGAGACCCAGCCAAAGGCCGCTCGGAGAGGCGGCGCTCCCGGTTCCCCTCCAACGCCTCCAGCCCTGGAGAGATCCCGGAGCGAGAGCCGGTGTTTCAAGAAAGGGGTGTGGGCGTTTGGGGAGGGGTGACCATTGTGCCCAGGAAGTGCTGATATGGGTTGGGCAGGTGCCCGCGCGGCGAGCCTGGGGGGGATTTCAAGAAAGGGGTGTGGGCGTTTGGTGAGGGGTGACCATTGTGCCAGGTGGGCAGGGCAGGTGCCCGCGCGGCGAGCCCGGAGGGGCAGCAGGAAGGTCGCCAGGAAAAGCAGAGCCACTCTTTGAGTAAAGGCATCCCATAATCTTTACTGGGTGCGTCTTTGGAGGATGGATAGAAATAACTGGGGAAACACCCCCCCCCCCGAAGGCTGAGCTTTATTGCTGGAAGTCCATCAAAGTGCCCAAATCCAAGGTGTAGACTTATTGTTCCAGGCCTTCCAGCTGCCTCCAACTTTGGGTGACCCCATGATCCTCCAGAATGTCCCTGTCCTCAGCCGCCCTGCTCAGCTCTTGCAAACTCAACCTGGTGGCTTCCTTGAGGGAGTCTTCCCATCCTGTATTGGGTCTTCCTCTTTTCCTGCTGCCTTCCACCTTTCCCAACATTAATCTGCCAGCAAGACGGGGAATTTCTTAAGTGTGTGATTGTCACAGCAGGAGCTTCTTTCAACTCCTGTAACTTGCAAATTACTGGTTTTGGTTTGTGTTTGGATCTTCAGGTCATATATAGCAAATCTACCAATTATCCTGGTGAAGAATTCTAAAGACTTCAAATATCTGCATTCCTTGATGGCATTTTGGTTGGCCTTAATAATAGTATCACCCAGCTGTGTGTGTTGCGTATAAATTCATAGCCGGTGGTTGGCTGCCTTTTCCTTTCCTTTTCTCTTCCTCCTTTGGCACGTTTCTTTAAAACTGTGGTATGGCTCTTGTTTCCTTCTCAGCTTCTGAGTAAGATGGGATTGCTTCTGTTTTCTACCGGAATCTGTTCTCTGAAATTATTGTCATCTGTTGGAGTCGCGAGCCCATTTCTATGCAAATGAGTATCGCGGCTATCAGTTTATGCCAGCCCCTTATCAATTCACAAAGGACTTAAAAAGGAATGGCGAGGAAGAGGTGGATTTTTCTTTAGATTCTGGCCTCGCCGAACTCTATTAGGAGCCAATTATGGAGCTAAACGAACATACACAGAGAGACATACACACATGCGCGGGCCGCTGCCTCTGGCTATGCTTTCCTGACAGGCGCAATGCAGTTGGAGAGGGGAAGAGAAGTCAGAATACCATCAGCTCAAATGAAACAGAAATGTTTCGCTTGTCTGGGTTATCACTGTCCCATTATTTCCCGCCCCAGGCAATTAGGAAACAAAAAAACAAGATACAAGGAAGAACACTGAGTTGGTTGGTTGGTTTTGCCACCAACCACGACCACTGTTGCGAGGGCTTCCTCCTGGAACATACGATCGTTTTCATTCCATGGTCCTATAAATGTGAACATAAGGAGCAGAGACAAGAGTATTTCTGAGCATATGGAGAGTGCATGCGAGACACGGCATAGTTTTCAAGTCACTTTATACAGCAGCCCTGTGACCCTTGGCAGCCTCAAGTTTTGCAACCTTTCGCCCAGTTCAGATGCTGAGAAGGCTTCATTTGTGGCACGTCCAGGATCATCATCATCATTCAGAATTGTCTGCCTAGTTCATTTCCCTCTCCTGGGAGTTCAGCCACAGTTCTCGTCATCAGTGTGATTAAAGCGTGCTGTTAAATGTTGGAGGCGAACCCGTGAAGCTTCAACACGTTGAGTGTAAATGACCAGCGTAATGGTCCCTACCCCCACATTTTCTTCATGAAGAAATAGATGTTGACCATGAGATATGTTTCCTCCCCAAAACTACAGCGCATGGGTCCTAAAACCACAATGTGTTACCCCCTGCCTCTCCCTGGTAAGAGGCCCACCCCGAGTGGAAAATCCATGGCAAATGTTTCCATCTAGAGTAGACAAACCAGGTTTTAAACGTTGCGTCAACCTTAGGCCTGGCCACCAGGGGGTGCTGAAGGGCAGGCGATCCCTTGCCTTCCAGGGCCCTTGTTCTCAAAGCCCTGCTAGAGCTGGTTTCAGAAACCCCCCCCTTGCACTGGGAAGCAAGTGCTGGTGTGTGTTTGTGTGTGTGTGTGTCAGGGAAATTGCAGCAGGGGTAGCCTTTCTGAACCATGCATGACAGGCATGCATCTGCCCAAATCCTGTTTTCTGGGAACTCATTATGGCTTTGCATCTCTTTACTGCAGAAAGAAGACTGGGATGTGCTTTGGATTGGGACCGGTTTTATCCCTAGGTGTCGTGAGGCAGCTGCCTCATGTAGAAGGATTTGGGTGTCCTGTGAAGTAAGTGATTATTTTAGTTACTTCTGGGAAACGGAAAATAAAGTATGACTTTTTTAAAAAAAAAGTACACCTATAATAGTAACTATATGATTTTGAGATTTGAAACCATCAGGGAAGTAATGGCTCTTCAAAGTAATGCCCGGAGCCCAGATTCTGACAGCATCCTGCAGAGTGACTTGCCATTGCCTTTTTGGAGAATGTGTTCTTTCCACCTACGGCTGAATTTCCCCTCATCTTCCACCTTTGCACTCCTGAATCACAGTCGTGATGAATTTGCTGCAGTAGCACAGCAGCTAGTTTTGGCTGCCTGGTTTTCATGATTGTGGCTGGTACTGACGTATGAGCCTGGAAAATTATGACACCAAAGTGATGATGCAGAAAGCTGGAGCCGGGGTGAACTTGAGTGACAGATGACAGCCTCCCTGGAATCTTTTTCAAAAAAAAAAAAGTCTGCTGGCCGTGAGCCATTGGCTGAGCCTTGGCCAGGGACCAGACTGGTTGCTAATATGTATAAAGATTTAAAGCCTCAGAAGGAGCCGCTGCACTTTGATTGGGTTGGCCCTTGTGTTCTTCCTTTCCTTTCCTTTCTGTTCTTTTTCCTGGCAACCTTTAAACAGTCCAGGCCTGCTTTTGAATGCAAAGTTGTCTATTTCATGCAGGCGGTTTTCCTTCCTCAGAGCCGTACCAGGATGTTTTTGTCATGAGTCGAAAAGGGATGGGTGCTGCCGTGCAGGGCTGTGGTCCATCATATGTTTTCTGAATATCACTGCCCACAATCTCTTGCTGTGCTGTATAAGCAAGGTTGGCTACGGGAGATGGCATATTCCCCAGCCTGGCACTTGGTGGGGCAAAGCACAGTCCAAATAAATGGGGGTAGGTATATATTCCCTTAGATTAACCTGCTTAACTTCCTAAGATACATTCTTATCATTCAGACTTGCAAATTGGACCCTTCCCATAGCCAATCATAAAGCAAAGCTCGTGAAATGCAGGATGAGCAGGTGAGGAAAAATCAAGTGTAGCGACAAGGTTTTACCACTCAGGGGAGCACTGCACTCTTAACTACTCACCAGCTCTTGAACAATGCATTAAAAGTATGAGCTAGTTTGACCCAGAGTGGAGGACATGGGGCAGGCAGCTGCCTCCCTCTGCTAATCCTTGGCACAGCCCTCTTTTGTTATAACACGTGGTCGCTAATTCTTTAAGCAACGGAATTTGGGAACAGTGCTGCTTACTTTGTAAGTCCCTTTGACGGAGAGGGCAGAGGAGAGAACAGGTGCTTTGGTAAGACTTTATTGGTGGGTATAAAAAGGAGAGCATAAGTGGAGATCAGCGGCAGCGCATTGCGTAAGCCGGTGGCTCTTCTGCCCCATGCCTGATCCAGAGGGAGAAATGCAGGCGCCCCCAAAGGCAGTCTGTGCCCCACTGGCAGAAAAGCAGCTTTGCTTCTCTCACCCTCTCCCACCTCCTTCATCATGCAAGGGATGATGATGAAGACGAGGGATGTAGTTACTGACTCCTCTGCTTCCCAACAGACACTTCCTGGAGTCCCCCATGAGATCAGGCAGAGGTCGGCACTGTGCAGCCAGTGGGCCCTCCAGTCCTGTCACCTCTGGAGCCAGAGGTTGGGAGTTCGATTCCCCTTTTGTGCCTCCTTGGACAGGGGCTAGACTCAATGATCCAGAGGGTCCTTTCCAGGTCTGCAGTTCCAAGATGATGATTACAGCTTTTCCTAACTTTTCCTAACTTGGTACTTTTTTTGTACTTTTTTTGGTGGGCTATAATTCTCATCAGCCCCAGCTAACTTGGCCAGTGGGGAAGGATGATGAAAAATGAAGTCCACAGCAGCTGGAGAATTATGGGTTGCAGAAAACTCCAGAAAAGCTGTCTCTGAAGCCCGTCGTAAGAGTCAGGCTTGCACATCTGTTGACCATCGTTGGGCTGTCTGGGGCCATCTTTCAACAAGTGATCTAATGAATTGGTCGATCTGCTGACAGACTATTGACCACTGTCCTCTTCTATTTTTTATTTTATTTTTCTGTAATTGGAGTTGTATGTTTGCAGTTGAGTCAGGAAGCCTCCCCCAGCATCTTGCAGGCCAACAGAAACGAGATTTGCTAGGGATAAAAGAATGGAGAGAGAAAAGAAAAAGAAAAAACAAGAAAACTCAAGTGCCAATTCTTAGTTTTAGGTTGTTTCTCCCGTGTGCCCCGTGGTCATCCAAATAGACCCCTCCCTGTTGAACAGTAAGCTTTTTTGTGGTCTTAAAAATCTGAATAACTCGGTTGCCCAACCCTCCTCAAAATAGACATAATGAAACCTGAACTTGTAAGCTTTCAAAACATTTTTTCAACTCCAGCTTCTGGGTTTATACTTGGCCTCCTAAGAGGAACATAGATCTGCTCTCCTTGTTTGCTGCGCTCCTGTTGTGACATTTTAACCTGCCAAAAATACACGTTAGACACAGAAAACTGTCATTTTTTATGGGGAAAATACAGTCTGTTTGTTGAGGGGTTTACGGTCTCCAGTATTCTCTGGTGTGAGCTTGGGCTGGCTTGCGTGTCTGTCTGCCGAGCAGTAATTCTTACCTTATTCTCCAGTGAGGTGACTATCTTTCAAAGGGGTTGGGAAAGAGTCATGTCCTGCTGCTAAAAGGAAGGCAGATTCCTGGGTTATATTTTAATCTCTGGCAGGGGGCTGACGGCTTGTGTGTTACGGAGAGGATAGCGTCGCCCCAGCTGCCTGACCCTTTTTTGTGGATGCCTCCTCTTCCCCTGGCTCTCTCACCAACTCCAGCTGCTGCTTTCAGATAAGAAAAAAGGCCCAGAATAATCTACATATGCAAAACGGGTTCTTTTCGTTTATTTGATTTGCTTTTATTTATTTATTTTTTTAAGTAGCCATCCGGTCTGTTGCCAAGATTTCAGACAGAATTACATCACTGTTTATTATTTTATGGTCGTTTTGAAAAACAAACACACTGATCTGCACCTTTGAGAGTCTTTTCTCCTTGCCAAGTCTTTTCTGACTTATGGTGGCCCTGATAGGATGTTTGAAATGTTCAAGGAGGAGTGGTTTTACTGATGCTGCCCTTCCAGTGAGTTTCCATGCCCCAGGCTTGTGATTTGAACCCAGGACCCCTGAATCCTCATCAGACACTCTACCCACTACACCATGCTGGCTTTCATTCCTTTGGGCACACCTTTAGGCGCTCCGGATCCCTCAAAATTTGTGGTCATTTTCCCTGGGGATGGAAGCAGAGTGCTCTCAGTCGTGACTGATAACCTGTTATTGAAGGAACCTTGCTTTGCCCGTAATTCCTTCTGGAGGCTAAAGAAATGAGCCTGGCCAAACGGACAGCTACGCCTTGTGGTGGGTGTGGCAATGCTAGAAAATCTGCTCAGCACCTCCAGCTTGCTTTGGTTTAATCTGCTCTCCTCTTGTCCTTCCGATGGCTGGCCGTATTGCTTCCTTGGCTTTTAGCCCCATTACGGTAGGCATTCAATGCCCCTCTTAAACCCAAGCCGTAGGTTTGCGATCATATTATTTTAGTGAACATGCCAGGAGGTTTCTGGGGCCCACAGAATAAAAGAAAGGGGTCCGAGACACAAATGCAAAAATCAAAAGGACAGAAGCCTGCAAAGCCTGAGTGATAACAGCAGCGTGTGCTCTACAGATGTCTAGTAAGGCGGGGGCCCTTGAGTGCCCTTTTGTTTCCTGTTGTCTAGTGGGGTTACTTATGAGCAGGAGATTTAGGAGGACTGGAAGCCTATGGCCCTGCAAGTGTTGTTGGACTCTTAAGTCCCATGATCCCTAGACAGCATAATGAATGCTGAGAGATGATGGGAGGTGCAGTCTGACAGTCCATGCAGGGCCACGTGCTTCTTGCCATAGATTCTGAACCATAGATTTTCCTCCTCCTGTCCTTCAGAGAGTCATGGCTTCAGATAAAGGCTGGGGCTTCCGACTGCTCTGCTTGATCCTTGAATTAAATAGACCCACATTCTCTTTAAAGTCCTGTGCGAAACAGGAGCCGGACATGATGCTGACAAGGCGCAGGATGGCGTTCGGGAAGGAGCCCCGAGACCTGCGTTCATTTCATGCTCAAAACTCTTGCTTGAAACTGCCTGGCTTTTCAAGAATTGTGACACATAAGGAGCGTTTACTCCTCCTCCTCGCCTTCTATCTGTCCAACAATGACACTTTTGTTAAATGAATGTTTTCCCACTCCTTACATCTTCAGCCAATTATGCCTCTTCCTGGAGCTTCCTATTTTCCTTGTCAAGATGCCTTTTTACATCATCCATCCCTCTCCTCCTTGGCCTCTGCTGGTTGTCTCTTTCATTCTAGCCCCTGGTTTGTTTACCAGGTTGAGTTTCTGGTCCCTAAATCATCACCAGACTCCTCTGCTAGCCATGCTGGCTCTTTGTCACTGTCAACTTGAAGGCCAAACCTGTTCTGAATTCTCCCATCTTTAGCTTACAGCAAAGTGCGTGTGGAGATTTTCAGAAATCTGGACGTGGTACATTGCTTAGACTGTGCACATGAATATTTTCTGGTTTGTGCTGACTCCAGTCAGATCACATCTCCAGGTTTCTGTAGTGCTTCAATGCAGAAGCAGATAATAAATAATAATAAGAATTTTAGAAAGGCAGAGCTGGAATGCACCCTCTGGATATCGAGTCCAGCTTCCGCCAAGGAAGGCACTGTGGGGAATCAAACTCCCAGATACCTAAACCACAGAGCTATCCAATAACTTTGCAGTTAGAAGCACACAACCTCATATGCTTACTGTGTTCCCCTCTTTGGGGAGATGCATTGTATTTCTAGTTAAATGATAGTCATGCTTTCTAAATCCGCTTCCCTGCATGTATAGACATGGGTATTTATTTTGGCGTGAACATTTCCTCCTTATTTGGGCAGTGATTTATTTATTATTTATTTATTTGATTAAGTTGCCCTCGTATCTTTCACTCCTGTCCGTGTTTACTCGCTCCGAG